GGTTGCGGAGATCTAGGGTTCCTTATAGCAGTTCAGGGTCTAGGGTTTGGGGTTTGGGGTTTAGGGTTTGAGGTTTAGGGTTTGAGGTTTAGGGTTTGAGGTTTAGGGTTTCGGGTTTGGGGTGTGGGGTTTAGGGTTTGGGGTTTAGGGTTTGGGGTTTGGGGTTTAGGGTGTAGGGTTTAGAGTTTAGTGTTTGGGGTTCAGGTTTAGGGTTTGGGGGTTTTTTCGGGTTCCGTTAGAGGATCGAAAACAGGGAACCCCAAAAAACAAACCCTAGCTCAAGCCGTGCAGTAGAAGGATACCTCTCAGGGGACTCTCTGTGTCCGATGCTTTGAGGGGTCCGGGATAAGGATGCGGGAACAAGGGGTTTAGGGTTTAGGGTTCGAGGGTTCTTGTCTTTTCTGGAAGTTTGTAGACATCTGAACGTAAAAACATTTAGCATGAAGCATTATGTCTGGTGTTTCTGAAGCCCAAGGGCCCACATCGGAACTTTGCTGCTCCATGCCGCTTCAGAACTAAACATATGGATAGAAGCTTGTGTACTTATACCTTGGAGTAGAGTGCATATGCAGCAGAAAGAAGATCCCTCGCAGCATACATAAATACATACATGCGTAAGTACGTACATACAAAAACTTACGTAGACATAGAACCCCATGACCCTAAACCCCTAACCCCCAAACCCTAAACCCCTAAACCCCAAAACCCTAACCCTAAAACCTAAACCATAACCCTAAACCCTCCCCTTCTGCAGCGAGGCCCTGGTGTGTCTGCGGAAGCTGCGAAACGCAAGTTGCACCAGGTGGGTTTATCTGGTTCAGAATACAACAGAACAGAACAGGTCTATGGAAGGAGTTCCGCGAACTGCTTCAGCCCTTAACCCTAAACCGTAAGCTTGAAATTCTGGGGGGGCTTAGCCTAAGCTCGGATTGCAGGTTCGATTTTACAGCTTTCGGATGCTACAGCGGCTTCTGTAAAGCTTCCTTAATCACCGATTACATGAGAGTTTAGTAAGTAGGTTCCAAGTAAGTGTCAGAGTTCCCTAACTATATGTTATACCTTAAACTACCAAAACCTACTTTTTGTAGGGTCCTTATAAATTCCATATTAGGGTTTATAATAAGAACCTACAATAAAGTAGCGTTTCGTAGTTTAAGGTACGTGCTACGTAACAAAGTTTGAGCAGGTTCAGGAGCATCTCTTAATTGAGGTGTATACCTTACATCATTCTTGGGCTCCTATCATAATCTAAGGTCTAGTCTGGTCCTGAATTCGCTCATAGAACCCGTGGTAGTTCCTTTTAAGGAACCCTGTGTAAGGAAGCTTAAATAAGGGAGGCATGTGGTGCATCTTCGATCCAACTAAGAAAGTGCTGTGGCACATGGTGGAAGTGGCCTACAGATGCAGGGAGGTGAAGACCGCGGCCCATCTTCTTCGAATTTTCTGCAGCTGCCTGAACAAGTGAACCAGGCTGAAATGGGGCGGCTGATGCGGTCGAGCCCTCCGCGAAGAGGGCTACCATCTCAGATAGCCCGGATGTCCAGCCATATATGAGGCATACCCACGATGGCAGCGATAGCACGCCTATGCTGGCTAGGAAGTTGGCCTTCAACTTCATTTCATGGCGGTAGAGCCATCATAGGGGTTTGAGTTTAGGGTTTTTCGGGTTTAGGGATATTGTCCGATCCATTCAGCCCAGTTGCTTGCCTTTTGCTAGTATTTCCCGAAAAGTATACAATCCAACCTTGGCATGGGCTGGCAAACTGAGGCTAAGACTTCCCAAGCCCAAGAGCTTTATTTGTACGTATATGTATATATATATATATATACACATTCATAATTGCATATGTCTATACATACATACATACATACATACATACATACATACATACATACAGACATACATACATATTAATATATATATATATATACGTGCCCCAGCACACCTGGACACATGTCTCAACCGTTTGCACAGCCAAATCCTACATACATATATATATATATGCACACATAAGCCCTATCTATTTATGTGTGTGGATGCATAGGTATATTTTTGTATACACATGTCTATGAAGCAGATGCTTATATATATGTATGTATATGCATATACATATATATATATATATATGCTCTCAAGACCCCGAAATTGCGCAATCAACCTTGAGTCATGTTGGGGATCCGTTGAGAGTTTCATGGACTTAATTGCCGAGCGAGCCTCTAACCCGGTATGAGACCCTGACACTAAGATTTCAGGCTTGTGAACCGTGCTGTACAGCCTTAATCTTCATTGTACCAGTGGGGGATGAGCTGCCTAGGTCTCGACTGTTTTCCCTTTTGTGGTTTTTCTGCATCCTAAACCCTTTTAGGGTTCTCTTCGTCTTTTGGGTAGGGATCCATCAAAGGGCCCTGCGTGCAGGAGATCTTGAAGAGGGAGGGCGCGATCTTGCAGCACATGATGCTGAGATAGCCAATGGGAGAACTTTAACCTTTTTGGCCACAGGGTTTCGGGTTTATGGTCTAGGTCTTTCTTAAAAAAACTGTCCCTTTTCGGGCCTCGTTGTTGAAGAATAGAGGATGTGGCCTGCTTCCCCTTCTGCGCCACTGCAAGCCCTTCGGGTGCCTCGCTCTCCGCCCAAGGAGCTGCAGATACATACTTGGGCTTAGGTTTGCGGTTTAGCGTTTAGGGTCTAGGGGCTTATGGTTTAGCGTGCGGTCGCTCAAAAACCCAACCTTTGGACTGTTACGTAGTACTGTTCTGACAGCCGAAACCTTTGCGCCCTGGGTTGTTGGGAAAGTAAGCACAGGTAACATATGGGGGTTTCCGAAAGTAGGGGGACCCTAGTATAGTACCCTGAATACTAGGATCCTTATTATAATTAAGGCCCCAAAATAAGGTACCCTAATTTTCGGAAACCCCCATATCGGGGCGGGGTCTGAGAACTTTCAACATCCGAGAACTTGCAGACACCCGGGAACGCGGGGAAACTTTGGTTACGGTCAACTGGTATATCCCCTTAGCCAGACCCCCAAAAGGATCTAAAAAATAGATCCCCATAAGGGGGTTCCTACAAAGTACCCTTTAGTAGTTAGGGTCCCTAATTAGGGGATCTATGTTTTAGATCCTTTTGGGGGGTCTGGGTAAGGTTTACTAAAAAGGTTCCTTGAGAGGCCTTAAAGGCCCAATATGGCGAGATATCCCTTATGTACCGACATACCCCTTAACCCTTTTCAAACCTGTAAGGGCCGTGTATTACTACTTTCCTGCAATCCAGCAGTCTCTTGGAACTTCTGTAGAATGCACAGCAGTTGCTTGTAGTCTGGGGGAGCCGCTGACAGTGTCAGAAAATTCAACTAGTAATGTTCTTCGTTTGTTTCCGGCTCCCGGATACGAATTGTAGTACTTGGGCCTTGGAACTTAACCCGAGACCCTACACCCTAAACCCCACACCCCAAACTCTAAGCACTACACCCGGTACCCTCAACCCCAAACCCGACAGACGTTCAGGCTCTTAGGATAGGTTTCCAAATGGTCTGAGGTACTTATCCGGGGGATGATTGCCCCAACCAGCAAAGTAAATCCTATTATGGAAACCCCCCCACTTTCTAGTATTTAGGTTACTTAGGAACCCCAAAAGGAACCCTAAACCCTTAACCCTTACAGGAACCCATACGTAGATACCTAGGACCGTTTGGGATTGGGATTCGACCCTGCTGGGAAGGGCACAAGGGCGCAAGAGCTCGGTAAGGAACCCGCAACCAAGCGTCCACGGGCCCACACATACGTTGTAGAGTTTGGGGCTTTGGGT